GTGAAGCAATTAACTTGTAATGTCGGGAACTCAACTTTGCCGTTGGAATAAAATTAGATTTGGTAATTTCGATATATACGTGTGTGTTTTGTTTTATTATTATATTAATTATATAATTATGAAATAATTTGTTTATTTATTTTTCATGCAAATTAAATATTTTTTTAACAAAATATTAATTTATTTATTTACTTTGATATGGGAAATGTGGATAGATCATCTAGGGATCCAATCAAGGATCTAGTGTAGATAATTTACTACTGAACATTAATTCCATATGAGGTGGGTTCAGTGCTTACCAATTTGCAGTGCTGTCGAAGTGTTTGGCATGGTGTAATGTCTTCTGGTCATTGGTTATAGGAGTTTTTTAATGAGACTCGTGTATTTATCATGTTTTGTATTTAGTTTAATAATATAAAACTCCCTTTTCAAAAAAAAAATGAACACAAAAATCATGCCATGCACGATGCTTGGTCTGATAAGTTTCTAAGTTGAAATAATAATAATAATATATTTAGAAAATAATAATCCAAATTATTTTTTTAAAATGTTAAAAGATTTATCAAAAGTATAGGCAATATAATGAGATAATATAGATTTAATAATAGTAGTTGTAGTAATAATAATAATAATAATAATAATAGGTAAATGAGAGGAACTGGGGATATAATTTCAATTATTAAAACCATGTGCATCTCAGCAAGGGGTAGGTCCTTCATGGAAGGGAGGGAAACCCTCATGGTAGGACCATCACCTCTTTTAATTTAATACTATTAAATAAAAATTAAATAATTTTCAATGTGTTTGGTGTTCTTCTATCTTAAGAGGTAAATACAGTTTTTCATTAATATTTTAGTTGAAATATAAATATAAATAAAGGGAGGGAAACCCTCATGGAGGACCATCACCTCTTTTAATTTAATACTATTAATAAAAATTAAATAATTTTCAATGTGTTTGGTGTTCTTCTATCTTAAGAGGTAAATACAGTTTTTCATTAATATTTTAGTTGAAATATAAATATAAATAAAAAATTAAATTAAATTAATTTGATAATCATAATAATGGATTTTTTAAATAATTATGTGTATAAACTATCAACGTATTATTAATGACTATAAAAATTCTAAAATATATTATATTATAATAATATTTAAAAACAGATAAGATTTAAAAATATGTAAGCTTAAAAAATACATCTGTATTGACAGTATCAAACTTGTGCATCAAAGGACCTAATGGCAAATTAGCTTGCCACTTAGTCCAAAAAGGCTAAAACACTAAAGCGCGTGCATTAAAAGACTCGGCTCAAACTAGCATGTGAGGGCCACGTGTACCCCTAGTAAAAACCGAAGACGTTTTCGTCTTGCCGATCTGAGCCTGTCAATTTCCCAAATTTCCAATTCGCGGAAAAACCCGGTCCGACAACCCCTGTTTTTAATACCGTAATTACCTAAACCACCCTCGCTGGAACACCCATGACTTAGCCACGAAGTAAAACCCTAAGGGTAAATTCATAAACGTAGGTAAAAAGGGAAAAATTATATAAAGCAAAGGTATAGCATTGGGGAAAGAAGAGCAGAAGTAGACGACAAGAGAATTGGCTATTATCACCACTTCCTTCCATTGTTTATCGAGTATCAACAAGTGTCACCTATTCACAGATAGACAATACCCAGTTATTCAATAATTTCTTTAAATTCAATTTTTGGGTCGTATAAACTAATTATTAAAGCTCCGTATTTCTGTTAATTTTCTTTCCCATTAAGAATTCAGTGTCTTTCTCTTGGGCCTTTTGGGGTTTCCCTTTTACAGAGAGAGAGAGAGAGAGATTATAGGTAACCGTTAGAGGAGAAAAGTGGGATAGTCGGAGATCTAGATAGTTACTTTTCTGGTGGTTGATCTACCTGGGTTCTTCAGCTTCCAGCTAAAAGATTTCTCTTTGTTGTGGTTTATTCTTTCGTTTTGTTGAAAAAATGTGGTGGATGATGAATGAAGGAGGAGGGCAGTATTGTTCGAAGAAATCTGATGATATCTGTGGAGATGTTTGTGGACAGGTACTTTACTCCTTTGATCTCTCTATTTTTATGTTTCGATTTCTGGGTTTCGTGGGGGGATGTGAGGGAAATCAACGGGGTTCAAAAATTTTAAATTTTTAGTAAATATTTTCATTTACAAGTTAGCTTCTAAGTCTTCGCTTTTTATTTGGGGATTGAGAGTTTGCCTACTGATTTGTTATCGGTCTGAAACTCTTCAGATTTAACTATTTTATTTACTTTGGGGACTTTGTTTGCAAATATTTTAGCTTGCTTTTAAGGTGTTCGATTGATGGTTTGAATGGATTCTACTGCTTTTGTATATACGTGTGTGTGTGTGTATATGTATATATATACTTTTCAGCTCCTTCCATACTTTTCTAAGAATCTGAAAGTGCATTACGCTGCATTTATTCCATTATTTTTCTTTTCTAGATTTCTCCTCCTAGATTTATACTAGCCATTGATGTATTTGGATTGCCTTGTTTGAAATTTTACTTTGAATTTGATTAGAATTAATATTGTATTTTCTGTATGCTACAGGAATCAAGCCAGCTGAGCATGTCGAGAATTCGTTGTATACTGCGAGGCATCGATTTGAAAACTTACATTTTCATGTTTGTTCTGATTCCGACATGCATATTTGGCATATATGTTCATGGTCAGAAGATTTCATACTTTCTCCGGCCGCTATGGGAATCGCCGCCCAAGCCTTTCCATGATATCCCGCATTATTATCACGAGAATGTGTCGATGGAGAAGCTCTGCAAACTTCATGGTTGGGGGGTTCGTGAATTTCCTAGACGGGTTTATGATGCGGTGTTGTTTAGTAATGAGGTGGATATTCTTACTCTACGGTGGCAAGAGTTGTACCCCTACATTACGCAGTTTGTTCTTCTCGAGTCTAATTCGACATTCACGGGGATTCCAAAGCCTATGGTATTTGCTAGCAATCGAGACAAATTCAAGTTTGTTGAGCCCCGGTTGACTTACGGGACAATCGGAGGAAGGTTTAAGAAAGGAGAAAATCCATTTGTTGAGGAGGCTTTGCAGCGAGTAGCGTTGGATCAGCTTCTCAAAGTTGCCGGGATTTCGGATGATGACTTGTTAATAATGTCGGATGTTGACGAGATACCAAGCAGGCATACCATGAACCTCCTCAGGTGGTGCGATGACATACCTCAAGTGCTTCATCTTCGGCTTAAGAATTATCTTTATTCCTTTGAGTTTCTTGTTGATAATAACAGCTGGAGGGCGTCGGTCCATAGATATCAAACGGGGAAAACAAGGTATGCACATTATCGCCAGAGCGATGAGATTCTGGCAGATGCAGGGTGGCATTGCAGTTTTTGCTTCCGCAGCATTAGCGAGTTCGTATTTAAGATGAAAGCTTACAGCCATAACGATAGAGTGAGGTTCTCACGCTTTTTGAACCCGAAAAGGATACAAAGAATAATCTGCAAGGGCTCTGATCTATTCGACATGCTCCCGGAGGAGTACACTTTCAAGGAAATAATCGGGAAAATGGGACCGATCCCTCATTCCTATTCAGCTGTTCATCTGCCATCATTTCTTCTCGAGAATGCAGATAAATATAAATTCCTTTTGCCTGGAAATTGTATAAGAGAAAGAGGGTAAATCTTCAAGCAGCTTCATATGCTTGTACTTGTAACGGCTAGTCGGAGGTCCTACCAGGGTTCGATTGAATTATTAACGACGGTGAAACTTCACCGAGATGCCTCGGTTTGTATATAACCCTTTATTCCTTGATTTGAGGTTTACTTGGTGGAGGATATTTCATTCGCTGAGCCATGTACTGCCCTTTAGGTTGATTCTCTAATACATTAATTTAGGGTTCATGTGATTTCCCTATGTTGGGGAGTTTTGTTTTGAGACCATTTGTTCATACATGTTCTATGGAATTCCTTAATTTGTTCCCCTTGATTACTTGTTTTATGATTAATCCTTATTTCATTTGGTTTGGCTTACATCAAATACCATAATTAATTGAATAAAGAATTTGATTGCAATTTTAGAAATTAATATATTGAATATCCAATTAGAGGAATCAACGGTTTTTAGCCAAAATATTAATATAATATAGTTTTAAACTGATTAATGGTTGACAATAACGGATCAAAAAGTTTTTATATTTTAGTTTTAATTAGGATTTGAGAGGATTAAAATATTATCTAACTACCAACAACCAGGTGATGCATTAAGTCCCTTAAGCAAGGTCGGGTTCGATTCCTGGTGTTTGCGAATAGAGCAAACTGGTTTGGGAGGATCACCCTCATCTCTGCAGTATCCGATCTAGATTAGTTGGTCAATAAATCAAATATCAGTGATTAATTCAAAAAAATATTAGCATTTTAGTTTTTTGATTTTGAACATACATTAATGTTAATGTGCTTTTAGACAAATGTCCTTGTATTCTTTTTACCAAAATATTTTCCATTCATCTTAATTTTCTTTTATTCCAATTTGTTCTCTTAAAAAAAATATAAATTTGACATTTATGTTCAAAATTAATAGATTTCGACAAAGCCCTATCTATTTTGGGATAATTTTATATATTGTTTGTTCATTTTAACTTATTTTTTAAAATAATTATTGAATATCCATATTTTTAATTTTTTGGATTTTCTTATTACTTCCCCCCCAATAAATCCATGATATTTATACATGTATTTATAATTTTTAAGTTTAGAGATTATTAATAAAAGTAGTGCCCACTGGGTCCCGTCCAACTCACCGCCAACTAACTGAAAACGGCTAAATAACGCAAATCCAAGGAATAGTTTGATAAGTTATCTGCCTCAGCAACCTATGTTTTCCAGATCACTTAAATTCAAATCAAAAGAGTAACGGATGCCACGTCGGTTTGGTTCATATTAATAACGATCGTGCCTGGCATACCAATTTCTGTAATTTATTTACTGAATTTTATTAAAAAAAATTGCAGGCCATGGACCAGAATTTTCTTATAAGAAATCGAATTTAAGACACAATGACATACGAGAACCAATGGTTAACAGAAAACAATGTTGGATTCTACAAATTTTATGTGAATTTAAGAATGACGATTCTAAAATAATATTAAAGCTCTCTTAGTTACCGTGACAGATCCGAGGAATTCCAGCTGCGACGGTAAGGGGTGGCTCTGAGTCTGAATAATGCGCCGAACAGGCCAGGGTTTTCGAGTTTTGCTTGCTAATAGTCCTAGCGAGATGTTGAATTTATCGCCTTGAAGTAAGCTTTCTCCGCTGCTGAAAACCGCATTTGAAATATACTCCATTCCTTCCTACATCTTTCCCTTACCTGCCAATGCCATTAATCAAATCATCAACTTCAATAAATGCTAATAAACAAAGCTGTTATTAGTCGAGCTATGGCGCAATGACAACAGGCTTGAATAGAAATCAAATCCCGATCGACACCTTATCACGAGTTCAACCCTAGACAACTCGTTCCTCTAAAAGGTTATAGGTTCAATCACTATAAAAAATCTGATATTTTGTAAATCTGAGATTCAAAAGTTTGCATACCCCTTTCCATGGAGCCTTCCCATCTTGCGACTCTCCCTACCAAAAGACAAATTATGGTAAGTGCTTCATTCAGGCACAACAACAAAAGTTTAGTACTAACCATAATAATGAAGAGAAAATCAAAGCTGTCGTTACCTGGTTCCCGAGAGAGGGGACGGATTGATGAACAATCCACTGGGCATCTACGACGCCTATCTTCTCATGGGCGGGCTGTTTTTATAAAAACACATTAGTACTTTTAGTAAACGGTCACTGAACAAAGAAATTGTTTGCTAGAAGGTTTGGGAAGAAAACAGAGATGCTGACCTCTACACATTTTCTGAGGGCAAAATCAAGACCCCAACCATGGACTAAGTCATTCTGGACATTGTATACGAAAGCAATAAAATGAGTATGCGGCAAAATAATTTGAAACTACACGGTATTAAGATGAGATAAATACACCCTTGTACCTGAATCATATGCCATACACATCGCCATGCATCTCGTGAAAACACAGGAGCCATTATCTCAACAAACCTGCATACAAGGAAGAAAACACAAACTAATAGTTAATAGATCTATGGAATATCAAGGCATGATTACACAACCAACAATGCTCAAAGCTACACATACGCTGCACAAGGAGGAACATGTGGATCATTGCACCATCCGGGTTTCTCTTCTGTTTCTCTGAATCAAAATTGGAAAACAAAAATAGTTACTTGTCAACCAATTAATTCATCTGATTCAATAATTAATGGTATAATTTCGCTGATATCTTACTTGTGAACTTCACGATCACCTCTCCTCTTTGTCATTTGCCAGGTTAACCCTTTATTTGGCTCCAGACCAGGCTGTGAAATCTCCAGTCCATACTTCCTCACCAGTTTAATATACCTGAAAAATGAAATAAATAAAACACTCCTTAGTAATTTTCTTTTAAAGGAAAAGGCAAGGTTGAACGTGAACAAAACATTTATTAATAATGTCCAACACTCACTCTTCAGCATTGAAATGCTCAACCCCCAAGTCCTCATCCCAGATAAATATATAGTCATAGGGCACCACGATGTCAGGGTGCAGAAACCTCTTGGCATACCACCTAAGTAGTTAAAACCTCAAGAGTTAAATCTTTAAAACTTTTTAAGTAACACAAAGAATAACCAGTCATTACATGAATCTGGGACTAGAATTTGTAAATCCATACTCCAATTACAAATACTTACCACTTAGTCTGCCTATGAACACTCACGTGTATTGCCTGTTTTGACCACTCAAACTCATCCCATTCAGTTGTTCGACCATCATAATGAAAGAGAAGGATAGTAAAGTTCCCCGAAAACTGTTGGAAGAATATTTTTAGTCACACAACTTACAATGTGAAACAAACAAACGCATAATCATGAGAAAACCTCCATCGCCATCTCAGCATTCTGCTACCATCCATAATTGCCTCCATGAATATGAGAACAAGGATGCACATTCATACACAGGAGTACTCAAAGAAACATATATGCTTGGATATATAAAGAGTATGATACCTTACTAACTGCTGCATCAATATTCTTTCGTTGATCATAGCCAACTGTAAATGTGACAAGATACCTTGGCATGCTGGTCAAGTCCTGCACATGCCAATATTGTCAAACACAATCATGGAAATAGGAAACCTTGCAGCATATTTTACTCTTTATCTGATACTGTTCTTTGTGAAAACTGTGGACTGGAACAAGTGAGATTTTTACTAGATTACTAAAGATAATACTGAAAATAACCTCGCAGGCATTAATATCTGCATTTTTGAAATCCTGAAATTTATCAGGCCTTGAAAAGGATTTTCGGCAAAGATGTTTCCAGCAATTCCAAAAGCGATTATCCATTTATAAAAAAAATATTCAATTGATACAAATGTAATTCATTTTCACATGCGAGAGCTAAACATCTTCATGCCTGCATTAAAATCTTTAAATAATAATCCAGGGTTCAAAGTAGGTTGTAGAAGTGTCCACAAAAACAAACCTCACTAGGTTTGCCCCATAATTTGTGTAAAAACAAGTCTGACTCAGGTCTAACTATTCCTGGTGGTAGTCTTTCAGCACCTCGAGGATTTGATGGGACCCAAATCTGCATTAGAGTCATAAAGGATAAAAACATAGCATATAAAAGTCGCACCATATTATTCAGGTCCTACAAAATTATCAAACACAAAAATCACATCACTTGAGAACATGGTGGTGGTAGAAAAACAGATGCCAATAATACATTTGGATATGCCAACATTAATATAAAGCAACCTCTAACATACTACAAAGTAATAAACACACGCCTCAAATATAGGTATAGTTATGAGTACATATATGGATGACGCATGAACATATGCATTCACATAGCAAGACATGCTAGGGTAAGTGAGCAATGCACAACATTTTTAATTTAATCTTGGTATTTTATTCAGCTTCCCTGATTTATAATTTTTTTCCGACAGGTAAACCAAGTAAACAATATATGAATTACCACACGAACTATAATTACTGAATATTCAACAAGAAACAGAATGCAAAAAGAAATAGAGCTGCCAATATCACCACAAGAACCGTAATTACTGAATATTCAACAAGAAACAGAATGCAAATAGAAATATAGCTGCCATTATTACCACAAGAACTATATTTTTTCACAAGTTTCACTTACTCACATCAAACTTCAACTCAAATTAATCATTAAGGGGTTCCGACCATGCATGCAAAACTTCTATCTCATATATTTCAGAACTCCTCAGGTTAAGAGAGGAGGAATACCTTATTTGATGTGACATTTGTAGAGCTGCTATCATTACCAACTGGAAGTGGCACATCAGCTGAGCTTGAGGGGCTTGACTTTGTGTACTCAGTGTATTTGAAATCAATAGAAGAAAGAACGCTGGACGATAGATTGAACTGCCATATTCAGACAAATACAGAAGTTCCATTATTTAGATGAAAAAGATCATTATTGAATAGAAGAAAAATGATGAATCTAAAGCGGAGGCAACAGTTTGTATACCTTTGATAAGTACAATGCTGGGAAAGCTAATCCTATCAAGAATCCAAAAACTACTCCAACAAATGTTGTTACAATAAGCTTCATGCTCTCGTTTGGCTTTCTACTAGCTACACTGTGGGCACAAAGATTGAATAAAAGTTAAATAACTTCTACTTCTAAGTAACTTCTTTATACACATAAATAAATAATTCTTTCTAATGAAGAGGCCATCATAAGTTTTGAACCTTCGAGTAAAGATCCCCATGCTATTTAAATCCGTATAACCGTATGCTCACAACAAAAAGGATGTGAAGTCACTCAGCATAAAGACCTGATATCAACAAAACTTTGTATTAAAATTCAGCAAAAAAAATGGTTACAGATGAAATAAATTAACTGAGAACTGAGAACAAACAGCAATTTAGGAGCCATTCGCTCTAGGATAATATCCTAATTAAATCAAATTTACCCAAATATGCAGAAAGCAGCAAACAAAATACAAGCCATGAGACCTTTCCATTCATGCTGTAACTATTATATAGTAAATATGCAAGCATATGAAGCAATTAAGTAGCAACTAAGAACCAAAATAAACTTCAACTAGCAACTTCACAAAGCAAGCAACCATGTGCACCGCCTTTGACAAAAAGTTCAAATCGGCGAGGCAAACAAATCCCAGTCCTGGATTCAATAACTCTACAATTAAGAAAGCATGTGCATTTTCATTTTCTTTCTTTGGCTAATAACCTGGAATCCTAAAACTGTTGAATTCAATAAATTAAAAAGGCAGCAACGCCTAGAAATGTTCAAAGTAACAACCGAGCTTGCTTAGTCTGAAAGATACAGAACAAAACCATCAAAACCTTTAACAATATTTAATCTTAAAAATCCAGCCTTATTCCTGAATTTCTTTTTTCGATTTCAACCACGTTTTCGGTTATTGTAATACCACTATACTTCAAACAATAAAAAAAAAGTTAAACGACTCAAGTTCGTTCAGAAAACTGAAATACTAAACAAATCTAGTTTAAGCAAGTTAGAAAACGGAATGCTCATACAGAATGTAGATGAGACGATGCTTATTTTTCTCGGGAACCAAACAGAACATATCGTTAAATAAAAAGAAAAGAAAAATAAATAAATAAATAAACTATAAATATTTACTTACCTGAACGATAAGGTGATATAGTGAATGACAGAGCAAGATCTGGCGGAAACTGAAAGTGTATTTAAAACGCTTTAAAAAAATCCTCTAAATCGCGAGAATAAACTCCAACTCTTTAAGTGAAAACTTGTGTATATCTTTCTCTGAATGAGCTAATTTCGTGGTCACCCTCCTAAACGGAAAATGATTGGGAACGTGAAAGGAAAAGGACTTGAAACTGAAACCATGGGTTTCAATTTCCCGGAAAAAAGGTCGAAAGAAGAAAATTATCTACTTTTTTTTTACTATTAATTTGCTAAATAAATAATCAAATGCTAAAGATTATCTGATTTAATAATTGCAAAAGCAAAAAGGAAGGTAAAAATAATATAAGATTTAATCTAAAAAGGAATTTATGTTCTTATAAAAAAAAGTAGGATTTAATATTGATATTTTATTTTAGGTATATTTCAAAATTTTCACTGGGCGATTCGGCGACAGCATATTGATGTTTGGTGAGTGGGATTTGTGCCGAAAATCGTGTAAGGTTTTGATTTAACATTCAAAGCCTTCTTCTTTGTATTTGACATTTGACCCCTCAGCTGCTACTGTTAACCAAGAGTAAAATCACTTTTAATCCTTAAATTTCATATATCTTTTAATTTGATCCTTTTTCAACATTAATCTCTAAATTTTAATTTTCCACACTTTAACAATTTAATATTATAAAATTATGTCATGTATTATAATCTTCTAGAACTATGTGTTCAAAAAGATAAATTCAAAATAAATACATAAAATTATTTTTTTTAAAAAGAATCAAACAATTTAAAAAATAAAACAAAGAAAATTTAATTATTTTGAACTTTTAAGATTTTTATGTATTTTTTAAGTTTTATGATTTATATATATTTATTTAAGATTTTTATATCATATAATTTTAGTTCATAAAATTTTGAGATTATAGTCAAATTTATAGTTCAAAAAATTTTACACGGGTACGGGTAGGCAGCTGTTGTGTGGGGTGGAGACTACTGTTTCACTTTTCTGGTAATGGAGGGAAGGTGTGCTGTACCTGTACCATTCATAATCTTTACCTTTCCTTCCTCTGATTTAATTCCTCCTTTCTTTCACTCTTCACTTGGTTTTATTCTATAAGAGCTCTCAACTTTTATTAATTGCATATAAGGTTCTTCAATTATGACCTATGTTTTAAATTGGTCTTTAAATTTCAATATTCTACATCAGTCCACTTTAATAGAAAATTTTATTTTTCTTAAAGACATTTATAAACTTTCAAAATTTTTATAATTAAGAGGATTTGTGTGTGTATAAACACACAAGTAAATTGGATGGTCAGAAACTAGTTAGGTAGTTTCAATAATATTTTACACGTACTGCATCCTGATGCTCAGAAGGTACAAATCAAAGACAATAGATAAAAAGGAAGGTGAAAATATATGTTCAAAAATCAATCTTCTAGTTTTTAGTTTTGGAGGCTAAAGCAAAACTGCTAATGCTGGGCGTCCCGGTGGTAGCGGCAGCCCTTACAGGGTCAATAATGAATCCCTGCTCTGATACGATTAGGCCAACCATCGTCTCTGTCGGCACTCCTCTTTTCCGGCCAAACAATTTTATTCTTTATTTTTCCCTTGTAGCTTGAAAGTAAAAGAATTTTCATTTATTCCAAATGCAGATAGATATGCAGTTTCGTCTCGGTGATAATCCTGAAAAATATAGTGAAACCGAAAAGAAATACCTATGTTATCAGGCTTTAGTTACACATGCAAGGAGTCAGGGGGTTCTCCCAAAGATCATAGTTCGGGAAGGTCTCTTCTGGCAATCCGGTTCGTGTCTGGTGGGTGACAACCACGTCCTCGACAAAATTTGCCCAGCCCATATAAGGATCCCCAAAAGATTTAGACATAAGCCCCTTGTCTGGTTTAATGGATTTTTGACGGTGACCCATGTACCTTCTTGCTCCGATTATCAATTTGGCAAAGTTGCCACCATGTGTCATTACGAACACATCAGACTTCAGGCACACCAAGAAATCAAGTGCTGCCAAGCTTGTTACATGCTTCCTGAAAACAGCCAACTCCTCCTTACTTGCTAACTCTTCCTTGGTAACCTGTTTGAAAGCCCTGTAATTGTCATCTTTGCAAAAGAAGAGGAAAATAAAATGGAAACGTTTGCAGTTCAAGTATGTCATGTCAACTACTTGCATTGTAGTCCCTAACATAGTCCTGTTTGTTTAATTGACAGGCTTGGATGAGTATAGCTCTAATGCTTCCATTTATAATTAAGGGCAGTAGCACATAAAAAGTGCCACAAAGAAAAATGATTTCGTACAAGAAGATTTTCTACCATTCATAGAAAATAAAGACTGAAAAGAACGCACCAGATTTGGGAACATGTTCCTTAAGGGTGCCATCCGATTCTGACCACCATAAACCTGGCCAGAAGCAACATAAATCTGTGTTTCTTTCGGATAGCCCATTGCTCGAAGAATAACCGCCACTTCCCCAGGTTCTAGAGGGCACCTACCTTCTTTCCTCTTCTGCAGAGCCAGCTGCCAGAGATGGGTTCCATTCTGCCATCACAATCACTACAGATATAAGCATATCCACGCCAACTTTTGGTTCTTCAAAAAGAACAAACGGAAAAGGCATGCTGTTCTAAATCACCTTATACCGTCGAGGCCATTCTTTTTGTCTGTATTCTGCCATTCTAGCTTTCTCCTCCCTAGTTCCAACAAAATCACAGAATGATAGGCCCACCATCCCTTTCTCAAACCTAAGATGTAAAGCCCTGAATGAAATGAACTATTAGTTATTCTGGATTTAAAAAAGCGCGAACTCAGAATTTTAGTAGAATCTTAGCTAAAATAATACATACATGTAAGGATTTGGACTTCCTGTGCGGTTCCTCATTCTTGAGACCAACAAATCTGACATTTCCTCTACCTCAGGAAGAAATTTAAGAGCATGATAATTGACCCTGCATCTTAACCTGTTGATTTCTGGAGGGACATTATCATACCTGAACCAACACCCACGGAAATAGGGAAGGAAATAAAGGAGTGTAAGAGAATTAATAAACCAAACCAGAGTTTCTTTTCTGAAAAATAAACTTTTGAAAGTAATATTACACATATCAAACACCCATGGCTTACCCAAGTCTATCAACAAAAGGTTTTAGGGACATTATCTTCTTCTCTTTGATCCGAGGCAGCACATTGTCAATGTAAAATTGTGCTGGAGCATATTTTGGAATGTTCTTCACAGTCCGTCTATTGCACAAAACAAAAATTCTCCATATAAATAATTCCAGTGGCAAAAAGATGGAATAGATGTCGATCAAGATGCTTTATTCATTCTCGACTTATCTTGTTAAAGTACGGACATCATCATCCAATAAAGCCTATGATTGGATGGCTACAAGCTCAAACTGAACTATGATACACATGTAGCAAGATAGAGGCCTGTCAATGATGCTTCTAACATATATGAAATGAGACATGAGCAAAATAATTTCTTACATTTCCTTTTCAAAGAAAATTGGCTACAAGTGACATTGTTCCCAAAGTAAATTAAAATACATTAAATATTAATATACCATATCAGTTAATCTAAAACAATGAAATGAAATTTTCAGTTATGAGGTCTATTTAAACTCCTCGTGAAAGAAGTACTAGTAGACTTGTAGTTCAAAGTCCATAAAGGACCCACATCACCCTCACCTATAGCTTTTTGTCTCTTAGTACTTCATGCAACTGATGAGGTCATAACCACAATTTAAGCTTTGCTTGGTTAAGTGGAAAGAAAATTGGAAATGAAAAATCAAAGGAATAGAAAAATAGAAAGATAAAGAATATATATTTTTCTTCTCATTGATGTGCTTGGTAGGAAAGATGGACAATTTGAAAGAAAAAGTATTTTTCTCCAGATTCGTTGCTTGGTAGAGTTGAAAAACGAGAGGGGAAAAAATAAAGTTTTTGAAAATACATAATTTTGAACCAACTTACATCTCTCTCACATTTTGTCTCCTCGTATCATTCCAAATAGGAAAGAATGTTTTACACATGAGGACAGAAAACGATCATCCATCTCCTTTTCTTTCCTCTTAATTTTTTTTCCTACCAAGCACGCCAAATTTATTTTCTTTTCACTTTTCCACTCCCTCCTATCCACTTTTCCACTCAACCAAGCACACCCCAAGGAAGATCATGATACTGTCATGATTGAAGCAAATTCACAGAAGCAAACAACTTCTAAATTGATTATTGCTATTCAACTAATTAAAATTGAAAATGTATCAGAGGCAGAAAAACAATGAAAGATCACCTTATACTGGTAAACAATTCTGATTTGTCAGTAAACCACTCAGGTATGTCACGAACAATTCGCACGTCATCCTTTAAGTAGTCAATGAAATGATCAACATCAAAAATGTCTTCAAATTTCCTGCACACGGTTTAACAAATAAATTACAACCAAAAGGATGAAACAGAGTTTCTGCAGTTAGATAAGTAATGCAATAAAGTGATTTGCTTAGGACCACGAGAGGAGCAGAAAAAACTGCAAATTCTCAGCAAACTACAGTTAGCTTAGAGCTTTAAATCTAAGTTCAAGGCAAGATTCCAAGAATATATTTAATCTTGAGGTATTGCTATTTGCACATGAAACCTAACAACTTGACAAGGTTATAAGTGAACCTCAAGTAACTTTTTTTTTATATAGGAATAGGAGGTCTCATTAAAAACCTCCTTCTTAGTTGGCTCTTGTGGAAGAGGCAACATCGGAAGGAGGAAAAGAGTACCTCATCTTATTAATAAACCAAAATTACATAATCTTACATCTTACATCATAACTTCCCAAAATAAAATACAAACCAAACCAACCATAAAGCTATAATCATCAACCAATTCCCTCCTTAGCTAACTTATCTGCCTCCGAATTGCAACTCCTAGGAATCCATCTTATTAATGAACCTCAAGTAACTTGAATAAAGAAACAATTACAATGTGCCTAGACACTTCAAATGTTAATTAATAAGAATGTCAACATTAACACAGGGTACATCATTCTCGTAGATATTAGGCATTATTTGAAGTGAAGAAAAATAATCTTTCTACGACATAACTTCAATGCATTAAGGTTGTGAAGCTAAGAGTAATAATTATACAAAATCTTTTGGCTAAATTAATAATCTTAGTCACTTATCCTTTCTTGCCTACTTTATGCATATATCAATACTTAGGTTCCAATGATTTCTATTCACAAGATAAACAATATGTGTGAAGTTATTGGACAAGTTCTCTCACGTTTGGTCTTTCCAAATCTGGTCCTGCTTCAGCACTGGCAAGATGAGAGTGGCATTCAAAATTTTGGCCACAGCCACTGCATTACATATCTGCATGGAGTTGTACAATAAGTCTGTTAGTTTGTTGCTGGACATAAAACGATACCAAAACATTCAACAAAATTTCCATTTTAAATACAACCAAAAGGCATTTCGAAATGATAGAAACTAGAATAGAACCAAGCAGCAAAGGTACCAGATTAAATCAAGAAATCATGACAAATACAAGAAGAAAAAGTGCTTTAAGGAAGCACTTTATTACCAATTCTAACTTAGGCACAGACATAAAACTCATCACACAGCTAGGGATGACTCCCCTAACTTGGGTAAACCGCGGACAGCATCAAATCTCACAAGCCTTTGCATACCACGATAATGCACATGTGATGCTAACTATTAAGTATCAGTAATTTAATAGCTTAAATCACTTCAGAAAGATTTGTGACATAATTGAGACTATAATAATTTTGAATTGCAAGGTCAGGCAAGAGCATTTTTCTTAAGATTTCACACCAGTGACACCAACTATAAGTATCATTAATTATAACTCAATAACTTCAAAATGAAATTGTAACCTTTTCCAACTCCATATGATAAAAAATGGTAAAAGGATAACTAAAACATGTGATCAGATTGCAACTAGAAGAAAAGAATCCATACCGCAATTCTTTGCTGATTTAGACCACCCTCAGCATGAATGAATAGATAACCACTTGTTTCATTCTCGGGAGGAAGCTCTGGACAATATTTAAAATAGTGATTAACCTTAGCTGTGATAATATGAACAAGAGCAAAACAACTTGATAACAAATATCATGAATTTAACAGTTAACCAATCTGAAGAAGTTTAGACTGATCTAATCCTCTATGTCCATAGGTCCATAACCTAAAACTTAGTAGTTCCCCATCTTGAGAGTATATATACAAATTGTAGAAGTAAGCTATATGATACCATATTCTCTTGCTAACAAAAGGCAGGACAAGTTTTCAAGTAACAAACAATTTCTTAAGGTTGCGTTGCAGCATTTAAATTCTAAATTTTGGATTGGAATTTCAAAAGTAGTGAAAATTGTGATATAAAAACAAATGAAACAGCAACACTTGATATTACTTTTCAAATTTATGGATTAGTTAAATGTTGGTTTAATGATACATTTAAAATACCTATAGATTTGTCTGGATTAGAAATTCATGTTTCATATCTTTTAAATGTGTAATCGTATTGATTTACAACTAATTTAAATGTAATGTACGCATTTCATTATCACAATTTATACAGAAAATGAAATCCAAATTCAGGGTTTCAAATTCATGCTCCCAAACATGCAATAAATGTGTTTCACAAATCTGAGACAGTCAAATACTTGGTATCACACCCCTAAAAGGAGGAACCTACAATACCTGATATTCCACCTTCGCGACGCTCAGCACAAGGCTTCCATGAAGTAGTTGCAGTGAAAGGATTCTCCCAAAGTGAAGGCTTCTCCTTAACCTTGAAAGCAGAAAACACCAATCACAAATGGAAGAAACCAGAAATAATACGGAAAGTATTACCAATGAGAACAAAAGAACAAAATTAATCAGGAACTTACACGCGGACAATGCAGAACAATGCCATCCTTTTTACATAAATACGGGGAATTCTACCATAAATTAACACACGTATATTAGCATTAGTAACACAAATTAAATGCCAAACTCACAATTTCCATTAAGCAAACTTCAATAGGCTAAATTTTTGTAGCGCTTACTCTGCAAGCTTACTCCAATCAAATATCTTTTATTCCGAACACTAATAATATCATTACTAAAAAACTAAGAATGATTCAAAATCTGATTGTACAAAACAAGAAAAAAGAGAGAAAAAGTTGCGCGTAAATTGAACTATTTAATACAAAAAAGTAAACCGTTTTCTTACTAATCGCTGCAAGATCGAGAAAATGGAGATTAATCCGGCAATGGCGACAAGCATGAGCACGAAAAGAGAGATCCTGGAGCCGCGTTGAGAAAACCTAGGATCATCCTTAAAGGAAGGGAAAAAAGAGTGGATTTGCCACCAAAACGAACGGTCACGATCTCTTGAAGAATGGCGAGGGTGATCCTCGGCGTGTGGAGAGAATTGATCGTGGATCAGAGGAGAGGCGTCCTCGTCGCGTTTCATTGGAGAAGAAGCGGCTCGGCTCCCGAGCGAGCTGCTCGAGTGTCTTAGCTCAACCATGAGCGGCTTCCGACTCTAAGCCAGCTTTTCGAAAGCTCTGCTTCGGCTTCTTCGACTCAGATTTACGCGGGTGGTGGATGCAAACAACTCGATAGGAGAGAAAAAGAAAGGTTCTTTCAGAGTCCACTTATGAAGTGTTCAGATCAAGTTGCTTGACATCATGAAAACACTACTGAAAATACTTTCATCTGTTAAGGGTAAACTAGTCTTTTCACACACTGTTATAACCGACTCCCATCTATAGTTGCTTTTAGAGGTAAAGTAAAATTTGGTTAAAATCAATTTAATTGGCACGTTTAATTTTAGGGTAAAGTACACAAATGGTCCATCGCTATAGGATATTAATTTTTTGAGTCTTCTAACTATTAAAAATTAAAAAATGGGCCTTTAACTATAGAGAGTCGTTTTGTTGAGTTCATCGACTATTAAAAATTATAAAATAGTTATTCAACTATTCATTTTGTTCCAAACTCATTTTTTTGGAAAAAAATTATTGGTCTTTGAGTTGGACGTGAACATGTTGACTAAGATATGATAGTCGTTTGAAATTATGAGATCAGATTTTATCATATCTTAATCAGTAGGTTTACGTCCAGCTCAAACTACAATTAATTTTTAACAGAAAATTACGAGTTTGGAATATAATGAATAGTCGGATGACTATTTTATAACTTTTAATAGTTGATGGACTCAACAAAATAACTCTATAGTAGGGGACCATTTATAACTTTTAATAGTCGAAAGACTCAATAAAGAAGTATTATATAATCGAGAGACCGTTTGTGTATTTTGCCCATAATTTTAACATATTTGATTAAGTAAGTCGATTACTGGTTAAAATAAAAAGATTAAATTTCAACTAAACAACATTACTTCATCCCTTTTTTTTCCAACTTCAACATGAAACCAAGCTTTCAAGAGAAGCTTTCCTACACTATAAAAATTTGAAATTGTATAATGTAGAATTAAGTTTTTGATATAACAATTAAGGCAAAATATTTTTGGATTTGAATTGAATTTATTCAAAGTTTTTCAAAGATTTCAAAAATAATTAAAGTTCATTTTAAATTAGAATTGAGCAAAAATTGATTTTTGTACAAGTAGTACCGATACTGTTCTTTGCAGTATTGATACCACATGAACGGTACCGATACTATTCTTATGGTATCGATACCATAGGCAAAGGTAGTACCGATACCATCAAGGTAGTATCGATACTACCATGAAGGCTCAGATTCCAGAATGCAAAATGGTACCGATACCATGAAAGGGTATCGATACCATAGTGCAAAGTAGTATTGATACCCTTAAGACAGTATCGATACTACAAGGCTCCAACGGCTAGTTAATTTGAATTTAACAAAGGTAGTACCGATACCCATAGTAGAGTACCGATACTTCTAGTTTTGGACAGTCTTATTTTGTAGAAAATTAATCCCCGGCAACTCCAAAACATCCCCAACGGCTATATACGACTTCAAACTCATTTCAAGCTATAAAAACAAGCTGATGACACATGAAGAAAGTAGAGAACACCTATCCAAACATTCAAACACAAGAGAAGAGTTTTTCACTCTTTATTTTAATTCTCTTGTAAATATTTTGTTCTTGTGAGCTTAAATTCATGTACACACCCTACCTTTAAGAGATTTATTTGTTTACTTCTTTTTATCCTTTTGTCAAAGGAAATGTTCTAGCTGAGCCCTTGAAAAGCTAGGGATAAGGTTTTAGTTTAGCCGGTAAAAATTTAGGGAGTTGTAAAGGTTACTCTTAATCCTTGAAAAAGAAAGAACAAATTAGTAAATTTGTTAGAAAATCTTTGGTGAGGAGCTAAGGTAGTGGAGGTAGACTTGGTTGAGAAGTCGAACTACTATAAATCGCTGTGCAAAATTTTTATATTTCAATCTCCTTACTCCCTAAACACAAGAACCGACTCGACCCCTCTTGGCAAACCCTTTCGATTGTCAATTCGAACTTCCGCAAATCCCAACATATAACCTATAATTTTAAATTTTCAATATATATCTTTTTAAAAATCTATATTCTTAACGTGAAATCGTACACCTAACCATATATTGATATATGTTAATAGGAACAAATGAGTTATGTAGGTCGTTAGTGGTTCACTCCTAATTTAGTGGAGAATTACAACCAGTGTAAGAACGATTATAAATCGATGATTTTCACAGGATAAAAATAGCATTGAGATGGCAATGCGGTCGAGGGAACAAAAGATAGAGAGTCGTTTTTTTCAGTCTTTCCTCAAAATATAAATACTTCGAGTCTCCGATTATAAGACGGCTGATGTTAAATTTAAAATTATCATATCCGTTAAAAGACTTACAAATCAAATATATATAAACGAAAAATTATTAAATTTTAATATTAACGTTAGAAAAATATATACTCCAAAGAATGACATTGACAGAATGATGTTAACATAACCATATTGCCAAATGCCAACTAGCCTCTGTCCCTCTAGCAAAATGGGCGTGCATTATTGCACCTCGCCTAATTCTTAAGCTTAAATACAAACCCAAACTTTCCCCTTTCCACAACAATTCAATTACATATATTAATTCTTTTATATAAACTTTTAATAGTCAGTGGTTATCAAAGTTTTAATTAAATTATATGTCGATATTATTTACATTTGATTGATAATTGGTTCCTTGTGCAGAAGAAGCTCATTAATTTCACAAACGTAGCGCACTGATTATCTGCCCAAAAAAGGATAAATAAACGGTGACCGCTTACCTAGTGCCGAAGCATGGCCTATTATATGAGCGAAGCAACGGTGGAGGAACCTCAAAACTAAACCAATAATGGATCTGTTTAATTCACTTGTTTGGCTTCCATTTCTCCTCCTCCTTCCCCTATTGCTAATCTTCAAGAAGAAGACCCAACATGTGAACAAAGAGCTCAAGAATCTCCCTCCGAGCCCACCCAAGGTGCCCATTATCGGTAACTTGCACCAGCTCGGTGCACTGCCACACAGTTCTCTAAGCCAACTTGCTAGCAAATATGGTCCGCTCATGCTCCTTCATCTCGGTCGTATACCGGTCCTAATCGTTTCATCGGCGGATGCCGCGAAGGAAGTGTTGAAGGTCAATGATCTCGCATGTTGCAGCCGGCCTAAGCTAACCGGTGTTGGGAGGCTTTCGTACAATTATATAGACGTAGCATTTTCGCCATACAATGAGTACTGGAGAGAACTGCGCAAACTATGTGTTCTTGAGATTTTTAGTGTCAAAAGAGTGAAATCTTTCCGGTTCGTGAGAGAAGACGAGGTCGGGTCGTTGATGGATTTTATCTCTCAGTCGGCATCATCGTCGCCGACTGATCCGGTGAATTTGACTGAGAAGGTATTTGCCTTTTCTGGGAGCATAATTTTCAGAACAGCTTACGGTAAATCCTTCCGTGGAAGCGAGTTTGATCGTCGTAAGTTCTACGAATTGATTCACGATGCCGAGACGGTGGCCGGAGCTTTTTGCTACGACGAATGCTTTCCGGGATTCGGCTGGATTGTGGACTGGATAAGTGGTCATAAAGGAAGAGTAGACAGAGTTTTCCGTAAGTTGGATACGTTGTTTCAACAGTTGATCGAAGACCATCGTAAACCTGAAAGGACAAAACATGAGGACGACATTATCGACGTGATGCTCGGAATTCAAAAGAAACAAATCGAGGAACACGGTCATGCTTGGATCACCAAAAATCACATCAAAGCAATTCTCTTGGTAAGTTATTTCCCATAATATTACTATTTTAATGGCAATACCTAACTAAGTGATCAAATTATACTCTTTTTTCCAAATAGATGCCCACAGTATTTTTGGCACATCTAGGTGTCTAACATTACAAACGTGATCACTTTAGATGTATGGACTGTAACATTTGTTTGTTCCGTTAAGTGACACGTGTCATAATCTGGCAATTTTGAAATTTATTTTTAAAAAAAATTAAAATTATAAATTATAAAAAAGCCTCAAATCCCTAAAATCCCCAAATCCTAACAATAACCCCTGTCGTCCTCTCCGGCTACGACCACCGTCGTCGACATAGTCCTTGCCATCATCCTAGTTATACGTCACCGTAATTTTCGCCGATTGTTCGTCGGAATCACGTTGGATCATGATTTTCATCATAGGGTTCGCGGGTTATAAAACGTCGATTCGCTGTTGATCGATCGTCTATCGGTCATGATTTCATAGGGGTTTTGGTCGTCGGGGGATGTGAGGTCAGGTGGAGTTTCGTCGACGACAAATGGCAGCGGTCGGTGTGGGTTAAAATGAAGGTTTTTAAAGTTTTGGGGTTATTTCAAAAAAATTATATTTCTTTTTAAAAATATATAATTTTATTTTTTAAAATTTTTAAAATTGTTAGATTGTGACACGTGTCACTTAAAGGAGGAAATTAACACTGTTAACAACCCGGTCATCTAAAGTGGTAACGTTTGTATCATTAAGCGTATGGAAGGACCAAAAAAATATTATAGGCAACTATTCAAGAAATTAAAAATGTATAATTTGGACACTTATTTCGGTATTAATCCTTTTTTAATTTCATTAAAGTCTTGAAATAATCTTACTTCAAGTATCAAACAGAACATGTTCCTGGGCGGCATCGACACCAGCGCGCTTACTGTAATATGGGCAATGGCGGAGCTTATGAGAAAACCACCATTGATGAAGAAAGCACAAGCTGAAGTTCGAGGGATCGTGGGGAAGAAGAAAGGAAGAGTACCGGAAACCGATCTAGATCAACTTCAATACGTCAAGCTGATCATAAAAGAAACCCTAAGATTGCATCCTCCGGCGCCGTTGCTGCTTCCAAGAGAATCAATCTCACACTTCAAAATCAACGGTTTCAACATTTATCCCAAAACACTTATCCAAGTCAATGCTTGGGCCATTGGAAGGGATCCAAAGTACTGGAAAAACCCAGAAGAGTTCTCCCCGGACAGGTTTATTGAAGACACCATGGATTCCAAAGTACAGCGCTTTGAGTTGTTGTCATTTGGAGGTGGCAGAAGAGGGTGTCCGGGGATGTACATGGGAACCGTTGCATCGGAGCATTTACTCGCGAATCTCTTGTATTGTTTCGATTGGGCTTTGCCTGCTGGGACAAAAGAGGCGGATGTTAATATGGAAGAACAGACAGGTCAGTGCCTTACCCTCTCGAAAAAGACACCTCTTCTTCTTGTGCCAATTAGCCAGGCATCTCACTAGGCAAAGTGGGTGCTCTTGTCTAAACCAACCCCCATCTAGCCATGCACTTGACCTAGTGTTAAATAAGAGGGACAAGTGATCGGATCAGTAGACTATTATTACGAATAGAATTTATGTTTTCCCGTTTAATGCATGTTGTAGTATTAAACCTAATGAGTTTGTCATATGTTGATGGTTTTATAATATGCTGAATAATATAAATATAATAATGTTCTTAAATATTTTGAGATTGATCGAGACAAATTATCTTTAAATTTAATTTAAGTTGATTTCATGTCAAAATTTATCAAATTTAAATATTTTGATTATTTGTATTATGTAAAGTGTAAAATAATGTAATGCTTATCCATGTATTGATATCGAATATATAATTATTTTAATATAATATCTATTAACTATCTAAATTTATTCAAAGCTTTTAAACTTCTAAATCAAATAATAATATACACTTAAATATGTTTGAGTCTATTTCCTCTTTAATGTTATAATAACAATTATACTAACTAGATTACAAAATATACAATTATGACAATCATTTTAGCATGTGATGTAACTAATTTCAAAGTAAATAAAATAGGCACATGCTCGGTGTTCATCGTTGAGCTATGGACGATTTATGATGCACTGAAACATGCGTGAAATAGGGGCTATAAGAAGATGGAGATCGAAATAAATTGTTTGGAAGCACTATCACTGAGGTTGTAGGTCAGTTGTTGTCCTGATTTTGAGAGATGAGGATACTACATATGAGACTGTAATTAAATTATGTTGACGATGCAATGGCGACAATGGACCGAAAAAACCTGTTGGAGAGACGTTGTATGAATTGTCTTCGATGAATATGCAAAACATACTTACAAGTGAAGCTTGCAACAGTCTTTGGTTTGTAATAACTGTCCGCTAAACTTTTTTTTTTTGAAACCTTGAAACGTTGACCGGGGAGTATAAACTAAGAAAAACAAACTTTGATCCTGAACACTCCTCGGAAAAGCCATCCAGTTCATTCTAAGGTGGGTCTAGTCGTGATTTGCAAAAATCCAGCTTAGCCACTTTTTTATTGTCCATACCGAACCATGCGATGGCCAACGAAATTGAAATTCTGTCCATATCTCTTTTGCTACACCGCACTCCCTGGTTACATGTTCAATAGTTTCCACTGTGTTTGGGCATCTGAAACAGAAAGGAGAATGAGCAACCCGTCGAAAGTGGAGGTTTTGCAGTGTTAGAACCAGATTTTGGATGAACTTCCAACCTTGAAGTTTGATCTTACGCTGACATTGACTCGCCCAAAGTTTCTTATAAAGCTCTGTCCATTGATTGAGAGTCCAACTATCCTCTAGAAGGAGACGATAGCCACTTCGCACAGTATAAGTTCCTGTTTTTTCACCACCCCACACCAAACAATCTTCCATCTCCATAGTAGGAAGGGGAATTGATAAAATTGTGTCACTTTCTGATCCCGTAAAATGTTCACGTAGGAAATCCTCATCCCATTATTTCGTTGTGGAAAAGGAATATATTCGTAAATCGTATCGTGGTATAATTATTGCCTTAGAAACGATTCGTTCTGATGTGTGTAATCGCTGTAGTAAGCGGACCGTCTCTCGAGATTAACAAGGTCGCTCCGAATTTCGTATACCCGAAACCAGAGCGGACGTGTCGAAGACATGTATTACCACTACCACAACCAATACTATGTGAGATTGAGCATTACCAACACAACCAATGACAACATATCAGTTCTGGGACTAGTTATCTTTACCAAAGAAAAAGAGCAAATTGAGGAACACAGTCATGCTTGGCTCACTAAATATCATATCAAGGCAGTTGTCTTGGTAAGCCCAAAAACACCATTTTTTTAAGTTATGCACAGATTCTACTCAACTAATGATCGGCGTTTACAGAACATGTTCTTGGGCGGTGTAGACACCAGTGCGCTAACTGTGATCTGGGCAATGGCGGAGCTTGTGAGAAATCCAACACTGATGAAGAAAGCACAAGACAAAGTTCGAGGCATAAAAGAAACTCTAAGATTGCATCCTCCAGCGCCGATGCTCATCGCCAGTGAAACCATGTCACACTTCAAAATCAACGGCTACGACATTTATCCCAAAACACTTATCCAAGTCAATGCTTGGGCCATTGCAAGGAACCCAAAGAACTGGAAAAACCCAGAAGAATTCTCGCCAGACAGGTTTATCGATAACACCATGGAGTTTAAAGGACAAAACTTTGAGTTGTTGCCATTTGGAAGTGGTAGAAGAGGGTGTCCAGGGATGTACATGTGAACCGTTACATCGGAGCTTTTACTCGCAAATCTATTGTATTGTTTCGATTGGGCTTTGCCAGTTGGGACAAAAGAGACGGATATTAGCATGGAAGAACAGACTGTTCAGTGCCTTACCCTCAACAAAAAGATGTTGAAATGTCAAAGCTTGGAAAATTGGTTCAAGTTAGGCACCTAATATTGCAATGTCAAAATTAGGTGCAACAATGTCAAAATTAGGTGCAATAATGTTTGAAAATTAAATGGGTAAATTATAAACTTTAGTCACTAAACTTTAGGGTATTTATAAGATTAGTCCTTAAGTTTCAACTATAAATACCCTAGCTCATTTAGCTTCAAAACCATCCCAAAGCATTCTAGCTTTCTTCCAATACTAGAGAGAATTTAGAGAGTTTCTTGAGAGTTGTTTTCTCTTTTTTATCGAGAGAGAATTATCATTGTTTTCTCCTTGGTAGATCGAGAGAGGTTGTAATTCCTATTTTCTCATAGTGAAATTCTTCTACCGTTGCCCGTGGTTTTTACCCTAAATTTTTAGGGGTTTTCCAAGTAAATTTTGTGTTTCTTGTATCTTCATTTTTATTTTCTCAAATTATCAGTTACGATTTTGCTCTATCCGATAGCCGTCTTCCGCAATAATTGGTATCAGAGCTAGATTAGAGTGTGTAATATCTGCTTATTGTCTTTGTGGTTGCCACTAAAAGGTGGATCCTCCAACATAAGAAAGTAAGAAGTTATTACTCATTCTTTGAAGGTTCCAGAGAACTATTCACGATAGTGAAAACGTGGGAGCTACCCGTAAACGAAGCAATGGCAACAAAATTTGATATTGAAAAGTTCAATGGGAGAAATTTCTCATTGTGGAAATTGAAGATGAAGGTCATCCTGAGGAAAGACGGTTGTCTAGCAGCTATCAGCGAAAGGCCAATAGATTTCACAGACGACAACAAATGGATCAAAATGGATGGAAATGTTATGGCAAACTTTCATCTAGCATTAGCAGATGAAGTATTGTCAAGTATCGAGGAGAAGAAGACATCTAAGGAGATATGGGATCATCTCACCAAACTGTACGAGGCCACATCGTTGCACAATAAAATTTTCCTTAAGAGAAAATTGTACACTCTCTGTATGCCAGAATCTACTTCAGTGACGGAGCACTTAAATACAATGAACACTTTATTTTCTCAGCTTACATCCTTAAGCTGTAAAATAGGAGAACAAGAACGTGCTGAACTTCTACTTCAAAGTCTACCGGATTCATATGATCAACTCATCATCAACTTGACAAACAATAATGTTACCAGTCTAGTCTTCGATGATGTTGCAGCTGCTGTTCTACAAGAAGAAAATCGGCGCAAGAACAAGGAAGACAGACAAGTAAATCTGCAACAAGCAGAAGCGTTGACAACGATGACAATGATGAGAGGGAGATTAACAGAACGTGGCCAAAGCAGCAGTCACAAACATGGTAGATCGAAGTTGAGAAGCAAGAAGAATTTAAAGTGTTACAACTGTGGAAAGAAGGATCACTTGAAGAAGGATTGTTGGAGTCTAAATAAAAACTCTAATCCACAAGGCAATATCGCAAACACTTCAGATGATGGAGATGCTCTATGCTGTGAAGCGTCAACCACCGTGGAAGGAAGAAAACGATTTGCAGATATATAGCTCATTGATTTAGGAGCGACATATCACATGACCTCAAGAAGAGAATGGTTCCATCATTATGAACCTGTCTCAGGAGGATCTGTGTATAGTTGCAATGATCATGCCTTAGAGATCGTTGGTGTGGGAACCATCAAATTGAAGATATATGATGGAACAATTAAAGTTGTTCAAGATGTGCGGCACGTGAAAGGTCTGAAGAAAAATTTATTATCCTACGGATTGTTGGATAATAATGCTAGCAAGATTGAAACACGGAAAGGAATCATGAAGGTGTTTCGTGGAGCGCTTGTGGTGCTGAAAGGTGAAAAGATAGCTGCAAACTTGTACCTGCTGAAGGGAGAGACATTGCTAGAAGCAGAAGCCTCTGTTGCCTCATGTAGTTCAGATTCTGCAATGCTATGGCATAAGAAACTTGGACACATGTCAGAACAAGGAATGAAAGTCCTTGTGGAGCAAAAGCTACTTCCAAGCTTAACAAAGGTTTCACTTACTTTATGTGAGCATTGCATAACAAGTAAGCAGCACCGGTTGAAATTCAACACATCAAATTCTAGAGGCAAAAGTGTTCTAGAACTGGTTCACTCTGACGTATGGCAAGCACCAGTTACATCCCTAGGCGGAGCAAAATATTTTGTCTCATTTATTGATGACTACTCCAGGAGATGTTGGGTGTACCCTATTAAGAAGAAGTCCGATGTGTTTTCAACTTTCAAAAACTTCAAAGCGCGGGTGGAACTTGATTCTGGAAATAAAATCAAGTGTTTCAGAACAGATAATGGAGGAGAATACACAAGTGAAGAATTTGATGACTTTTGCAGGAAAGAAGGCATCAAAAGACAGTTCACAGTGGCGAACACTCCTCAACAAAATGGAGTGGCAGAGCGGATGAACAGAACCTTGTTAGAAAGAACAAGAGCAATGTTGAGGGATGCATACCTAGAAAAATCATTCTGGGTAGAAGCAGTCAATACCGCCTGTTATTTGGTGAATCGAGCTCCATCAACTGCAATAGAGCTGAAGACACCAATGGAGATGTGGACTGGTAAACCAGCTGATTATTCAAACCTCCATGTATTTGGAAGTATTGTGTATGTGATGTACAACTCCCAAGAAATTTCAAAGCTGGATCCAAAATCCAGGAAATGTAAATTCTTGGGGTATGCTG